GACTTCCATGTCAGATGCCATCTTATCAGGCTGCCCCTTTGCTGCCATCTGTCTTACAGCAATAGAATGTCACAGAATATTAGTGGGACAGTTCGACCTCCACTGCCATACCATCAACATCCACCTCTGATCTACCATGGGCCAACATGATAAAATAAGAGACATTCGTTTTGGAATGGTCCTCATCTAGAATCACAGAATGTCCAGGGTTGGAAGGGCCTCACAAGAGCAGAGTAGAGGAGAGCAATCACCACCCCTCTTCTGATGGAGCCCAGGATGCCATTTGCTTCACAGCATATTTGAGGCTGGAAGGGACCTTAAAAATCATCCAATTCCAACCTCCTGCCATGGGCTGGTTGCCACCCAGCAGATCAGGTTGCCCAGGGCCCCATCCAGCCTGGCCTTGAGTCAGAGCTTCGAGTGTCCTAACATGGATGGCATTTGAACTGCTGACATTCTGAGAAGGTCCCCTGGGCTTTCTTTATCCTTTTTTTTTTTCTTCCAAAATTCACTCTTGCTGAAGGGCCAACGCTGAGCTACAACATTTAGCAATCTTGCTGTCATTTTCCTGATAATCAAAATTCGTTTATTTCAAATGCGTACAAATGCAACTAGTTACAAGGGAATTTAATTGTGAATATTCTTCATGTTTTTATTTGTAAACCATTACAACTGCTCTGCTTCCTTCCTATCTTTGAAAACATTGAAGTCCTGGTTTTACAAGTTCTGCTCTGTCCTGGCTGCTTGTTCCTGTTTTTGTGGTGGTTTCTCTCCCCTCCACTGCTTTGCTGTAAACACTTGGACCTGTCCATGAGGCTAAGACTGGCACTCAGCCTGAGCTGAGAGCTGAGTTCTGTCACAGAATTCCTCTGCCATATCCGTCTTGTGAAGAAATTCTTGAAATCTGAGATAAATGCAGTTTGAATGGCCCTGCTAAAACAACGAGGCAGCATTCTTCAGTGTGTGCAGCTCTTGATATGATCACTGTGCCTGGAATTTGCTCAGCAGTTTTTTTTATCACAGCAGCTAATTGAAGAGTAGCAGCTTACATACACCATTCACTTTGCAGCTGTACATTTCAGTGCTTGTTAAATAGTTGTTACACAAAATGCTTTTGCAGTTTCAATTCCGACACTGCATTGCCAATGTGTAAAGAAGACCTGGTTTGTCTGATTGACTGTAGGTGTCTGCATCTGAACTGCTCCCAATGGGTTGCTTTTACAGTGAGAAGAGAGCTTGGCTCACCACTCTGTAATATAAAGAACAGAATGGATCTTACAGTAATCAGAGGACTGGGGAGGAGTTGATTTGGATGGGGTCATTTATTCCATTTATTAAAGATCATTTATTCCAACCCCTGCCGTGGGCTGGCTGGCCCCCACCCGCTCAGGTTGCCCAGGGCCCCCATCTGTGGCCATGGGCACCTCCAGGGATGAGGCACCCATTGCTCTGGGCAGTGCCAGGGCCTCACCACCAATGTGAAGAGTTCTGACTTTAGCACCTTTATGTAGGGGTGGTTGTAGTAATCAACATGTCTTTATTTGGTCATCTGTGTAAACCATGAGCATCTTCTGTGACTTATTTCTAAGTACTTAACAGAAATGCTCAGTGACAACAGCTATCTATGTTTTCATATCTATCAAATGAGATCTGAATCATAATTATTTCTGGGACATTTTTGTTACTGAAACACTATGTAAAACTCTTTTGTTGCTTTCAACTTTGCATCATCGTTGCTCTTGAGTCAATTACATTAAGTTCTTTAACTGAAAGTGAGTTATAGCAGAGATTGCAATGTGAACACTGTCAATGTCATTTGTATTACTTATTTACTCACCTATATTTTGATTATGTCATTACTTTTCACTCTAAAAGAAGAATCTTGTATGATTTTGTTACTGTTTGTTGTGGTTTTGTGTTTTTTCTTTATTTTTTAAAATTTTCAGTATGTACTCCTAACTGATGAGCTCCCCGTATCACTCATTTTTCTTCTTAAACGTAAGTGACTTTGAAGTGTTACCAATACTTACTATGTAGTATTTTCAGTTTGGAGCACTTTGCTCTTTAAAGAAAAGTACTGTGCATATTTTCGTGATGATTGCTCATACTTCTAGGATATATGTGTGTATGAAAGTCATGTTACTTCAGGTCAGTGAAAGAGCAAATGCACATGTACTACTGCCTGATATTTATATCTATGTATATCCTGAGCTGGGAGGAGCAGGCAGTGCTCAGAAGCTGTGCTGCCATCAGCCTTACCGTGGGCCAGCAGCGTGCCCTGGCCGCCAGGGGGGCCAACTGCATTTTGGGTTGCATTGAACTCAGCGAGCCTTCTGCCACAAGAGGTGGTTGTCCTGCTGGGTTTGGTGCAGGTGCAGCCACCCCTCGAGTACTGTGTGCAGCTTTGGCTTTGTGCCTGGAAGCACTGGCAGGTTGTGCAGGAATGGCACAGGATGTGCAGGAATGGCACAGAGCTGCCCCAGACAGGACATCAGGAAAATCTCTGTGCTGTAAGGGTGGTCAGGCACTGGAGTTGGCTTCCTGGTGAGATGGTCAGTGCCCGTGCCTGTCAGTGTTCAGGAGGCAGATGGATAATGCCTTCAGTGGCGTGCTGTAGCTTTTTGTTAGCCCTGAAGCGCTCAGGACTGGGTGGTCTCTGTAGGTCACTTCCAACAGAACTATTTGAATTCTCTTAGGGTGGTTGCATCCTTTTCTTTAAAAGGCATTTTCTTACCATCATCTCTTGATATCTGCTGCCCCACAGAGAGTTCCTTCACTTTGCACTTCACAGGAAGGCCAGATTATTAACTAGACACTTGTTATCATGTCACACAGACAGGTATGAGTTAAGGCTCCTATAATGCTATGTGTTCATTTTGATAAATGTAGTTCTGTTGGCCAGGAATAGAAATGCCCATTCCTTCAGGTTTTCTTTTCCTCGTTGTAGGGAAGGTAGATAATACTGTCTCCATTCTGAAAGCAGAGACACTTGGGTGCCCAGCAGGGAAGCGATAGTGAAAAATAATTGAAAATCCAGGACTTGTAAGGACATAAATGAGGCACTGTCAGTTTGGCACTAGCTCTTATCTTCCTAGCAAGCTATTTGTGGTTCCTGCTTCCTTTTTGTTTGTGGGTTGTTTTTTGCTCATTTTTGTTTTTAGTCCAAATCAGATGAGGTTCAGATAGTTGTGCCCATCATGTCACCTTTCATTCCAGTATTACCTCAAAGTACCACCTTGTAACAACACACTGTACAGATTTTTGTTACAGCTCTCACTTAATTTACCACCCACTTCTGGTTTTTATCTTTCTGTGTAAAGCCAGTGGCAGTGATGAGATTTTTTAGGTATCATAGGGTCAGGTACTTCTGGTGCTCAGAGCTCCCTTTGGGGAAAGCTGCTGTTCTGTGCACTCCTTGAAGACCTCATGGGGCTGTGCGGTGCACAGGTGGGTGGCATCTAATTCTTGGCTGGTTCACACACTTGCTTACAGACTACATCAGTTGATCAACAGCAGGGCTGTGCTGGCACTGAGGTTACAGAGTAATCCGAGTCCTTGGATGCAGGTGGAAATACGTGGAAGGATATGTAAGATGGTAGAATTAGTGCAATGATGAATATTGGGTAGGGTTACATTTTATCGGGCAATTTGGACTCTTTATATAGTTGATTTATACACTGGGCTCTTTTTAATGCTCATAATTTTTAGTGGACAAACATGTAAGGATCATATAGTGAGAAATAAACAAGGATAAATTTGCATAGGTGCAAATGGCCTTTGGGATTGTGGTAACAGAGGAATGAAAACAGGGTCCAAGAAGGATTCCATTCTTGGGACATGACTACATTTTACTGTAATACAGGTTCCATTTCAAGTAGCTGTACTTCAAAAAGCCTTCTGGAGTATGAAAAAGTGTTCAGAAGATACGTGTAAAGAGATTAAAGGTGTAGTTAAAGCTGTTTTATAGTGGGTGGCCATAAGGACTCACTATATTTAGTTTACCCGAGAGAGATAGAGGGGTTTTGTCCTTGTCTTGAAGAACCTCAGTGAGGAAAATAGCCGTGTTGTTTTATCTGAAGGCACGAACTCTTCATCGGATACACGTAGCATGTAGCAGTTACATGCGGGATAAATCTGCTCCTCTCCAACCCTTCCTCTGTACCTGTAAGGTCAGGAAGATGACCTAGGGTCCCTCATCCTTCACCCCTGCCCCCAGAATTGTCTTGATTTGTTGGGCTCCTGAGTCAGTGTTGCTGTTTGTGGATGAGAGCAGGGTGGGTTCAAGGCCTGGACAAACCTCAGTGCTCTTCTGAGACATTCAGATCAGGATCTGTTAACAACAAACCTGGTGAAAGCGTATCCCTCAAGCAGGTGCTGCCTGGGTAGCTGCAGATGGGTGTCCAACACACCTTTTTTCAGGCTGTTCATGCACGATGCAGCCCAGGGGCTCTGAGATCTCCCTCGGAGCCTGGAGCTCGTTCCTCCTGACTGCTAAGGTAAGCACTGGCTCTGTAAGCTCGGATGTGAGGGAGGAGGAGCCCTCCTGCCGCCAATGGTCCCACGTTTCAAGGCTTCCCCACTACAGCAGACTCCATCCGCTGGCTGACCACAGTCTCCATCTGTTCTGTTTCCCCACATCAGAAGAGCAGGGCCCGCTGCTGCACAGCACTTGTCACTCCCCACCCTGCCGATTCTCAACGACCGGGAATTTACTTTTTTCCTTCCCCTTTTCTTTTCCATCTGAAAGGATAGATAAAAGGTTGTCCGAGGCAGGCAGGGACGTGGGAGGAGAGCCGCCGTCAACCCGGAGCCCGCCGCCCCGCCCGGCCGCCCCGCAGCGCTGCGGTCAGTGCCGGCGGCGGCCGCACAGCGGCAGTCTGGGACCGCGCGGGCACCGCGGCTGCGAGCGCGGCCTGAGGCGCGGCTCCGAGAGCGAGAATCTGCGCCTTCCTCCGTGCGCTGCCAGCCCGAGGCCTGGAGTGCGCACCCGGCCCTCTGGGTTTGGTTTTTATTTTTGATTTTCCACTGAAAAATAGCGAAAGTGAGGGAAGGCGGAGGAGAGATGCGCTGGTTTTGCCACCCAGCTTCTAAGTGCAGATCGGCACCAAAGGGGGGAATTGTTGCTCTGCGCTATCGCTCAGTATATAAGAATAATTACAGTCGTAGGGAGGGCAGAGTCCAGGCACGTGGAGGTGTTCAGGTTGGCAATGTCATTTTAAATGCTGATATCAAAGCCAATTGTTTGGGAGAAAAGGAAACATTGCATCTGAGTGCTAAGAGCAGATGCAAAATGGGAATGGGAGGAGGATAGACGTGGTGGACGGAGAGGGAGGTGCTGGTGTGAAACTGCTCCTGTCTTAAGGATGCTGCAGTGCTTTGGGGACCGTTCGCCAGGCTCGGAAAGCAGCACTGTGTCTCCTCGGCAACAGGAAAGGCATGTGTCTGTTCCCATGGAAATGTGCAGAGGGCTTTGCAGGGAAGGCTCTTTTCACAGCTCAGCAGCACAGGCTGTGGGCTCCTCTTTGGTTGTACCTGAAGCAAAGGCAGTCCACACATCAGGTGTCTGATCCTGGAGCCTCCCAAGAGTCAGCTGTGAATAATGAGGTGCTGCTCCTAGCTCCCCCTGTTAAACAAATGAATTGTGCACTGTTGTTCCCACCTAAAGATTTCCTTCCTCGGTCACAAATTGCCACCATTGAAGAGGTGTCTGCAACTTTTCCTTAGGAAAGCAGCCAAAGAAGCACCAGAGATTCTTTCAAAGGAGCAGGCAGACAGAACTAAAAATGGGGAAACAAAATGTCTGTATCTCAGCAGTCCTTCCATACCTGAAGGGAGAAAAGAAAGGCTGTGTGAAAACAGTGGTGAGTCTGCTTGTACTACATCCACCAAATAAGAATCTGAGTTTACAAACTGTATGCAGCAGGCACCGCTGCTTCTAGAGCTATTGTGATGGTCTTTGCAGGAAGCAAACTTAGATTTAGCAGGGATCAGAAGTAGTATCCAACAGCAAGAGATGGTAAATAGCAGTGCATTATTTACCTTCTTTATCCTGATTTGTCCCCTAATCCCAATCTTGTAAGGTAAAAATGCTAGTGTTTTCACACAACCCCAGAACAGTAAGGGTCAGAGAGAACGTTTGGAGCTCACCACTTCAGCCCCCTCAAAGCAGTTCCCTACAGCAGCTACACAGGAAAGCATCTGGGCAGGTTTGGGTTATCTCCAGAGGAGACTTCCCCACCTCTCTGGGTTCTGTTCTGGGGCTCTGCCACCCTCATAGCACAGAATTTCTTCCTCACATTCAGATGGAACTCCCTGAGCTCCAGTTTGTGTCCAGTGCCCCTTTGTCCCATCACTGGGCACCATCAAACAGAGCCTGGCCCCATCTTCTTGACTGCCACCCTTCAGATATTGATCAGTACTCATCAGATCCTTTTTGCCTTTTCTTCTCCAGATGGACAGTTTCAGGGCTCTCAGCCTTTCCCCGTCATTAGATGCTCCAGGGCCATCTTTGCAGCCCTCCGCTGTGCTCTTCCAATCAGATCCTCAAAAAGGCCAAAGTCTACTCTCCTGAAGTCTAGGACTGTGATCCTGTTTTCTGCTCTGCTTCATTCCCTCATGTTTCTGATCACCTCCATCTTCTGGTCACAGCCGAGGTTGCTCCTGACCTTCACACTCCTGGGCAGTTCCTTCTCGTAAGGATCAGGTGAAGCAGAGCAGAGCAGCTCTGCTTGTCTGCTCCTCAGTCGTCCATGTTATGACATCATCAGTGTTTTCCAGGAACGTCCCTGACTGCCTGTGCCCTTCTGAGTTGTCCCTTCTTCAGATACTGAGGTGGTAAATGTGTCCTATGAGAATAAGGGCCTCTAAATAGAAGGATTCTTCAGATTGTTTGCCTCTGTGGCAGACACCACTACAACACTACCCATACTCCTCACCTGCTTATTCTGCCCCACGCACTCTCAGCTGATGCATCATTCGGTCACAGAATGGCTGAGGTTGCAAGGGACCTCTGGAGGCCATCTGCTCCCACTTCCTGCTCAAGTATATCCAAAAGAGTACTTCAGTCATACATGCTCTCTTCCATGCTTTGTCTTTGGGTCCCAGCTGCAGTCAGGATCCTCATAATTTTTATGCTGGGAGTTTGCTGCAGGATTAGAAACTGATAGAAAGTATTTTCATTGCACATGGTCCATTCTTCAGCAGCTGCCAGACAGAATTGAGTCATTTTCTGAAGGCGTTCCAGGCTTTGGTTTGAAGTATCAGAGTTGTGTCCCGCAACCATGCAAGAGGATCCACAGAACTGGTGGACAGATAAATGAAGCTAACATATAAAGGGGGAAATAGCAAAAAACAAAGCCTTTAAACAGGCCACAGTAAGGAGAGGCTGTAGGCCTATAGCTGAGTCTTTTCTAAAGAGAATTTGTGACTGATGAATTGCAGCACTTGTTGGAGTTAAGTGACGATAAACGGATGGCAAAGCTGTCATCGGGGGGTGAGGTCATCAAATATGTAAGACGGGGGATGCATAAAAAGTGGATTTTGGGATAGAATTGTAGTGGTGAGATATGCAGTGGCAGAAATTGGACTGAGGGATGGAGGGATTGACTCAAATGGCCATAGGAGGTGGAGAAACTGAAGGAAAAAAAAAAGGTTAGCATTAGAACAATTGGAAAAGTGGAAGAGTTGTTATAAATCAGATGAAGGAACAAAGGAATCAGTTACGTTATAGACAAAAGAAGCTTTTCTAAAGGGAAGAAATGAGACAGGCTGTTCTTATGTTTGTGTTCTTTCTCTTCCAGTAGCCTGCATCCCTTATTTCTTATGAAATATTTGTGGTTGACTTTCCATTACTTAAGCTTTATGCTATATTTTTAACTTTTTTTATACTTATTTGGATTAGTATCATACTTCAGATTAATATCTGGGATTTTAGCTACAGAAATTTAAGGAAATGATTTTCTATTTTTTAATCTTTGGGCTTACGAAATTGTACAATCCTTCCTCTGTACAACATTAGCAGATATTTACTCCTTAGTATTTGCTATTGCTTTTATAACCAGCCTTGCTGTGCAATACGTCCGGCTCATCTGAAGTATCTGAGCACTGGGGCATCTCTGAGGAATGAAGCACACTTGCCTCCCAAGAGAGAGCAGGCAGTCAAAATTCCCCACAAGCACATTGTTTCTATGGTTTCAAGTTGCAGGCTGAGTATAAATTGGTCAGGAAACAGGTGCTGATGATGGGGTGTGCAGCATAGGAACTTGGTAGCCATTCAAAACAAGCACAGCAAGACAGCTGCTGTGCTGGGTGTGCTGCCCATCATGGTGACCGCTGCTCTCCCTCTTCGTTTGCACACTCTTGCTATTTCCATCTGCTAACTTCATTTGTAAACTGCAAAGGCCAGAGACCATGTTGTTTTTATCTTTACCACCAAGAAGTCTTGGCCAGAGACGCGGCTGATTACCGTGAGTGGGAAAACTGTGACAAATAATGTGATATAAGCTACAGCAGGTAGCTCTTCTGGTTGCAGTTCACATAGAAGCACTTCTATCTGAGCCTTACCAGCTCAGCTGTTAGCATAAGCAATGTGAATGATTTATTTTGCAAAGCACTGCACACCAGAAGGATTCCACTGATGCTTCTTCTAACCCCAGCATTTTTGAGGTCTACTACAACTAACGTGTGCCACCATTTATGTGCATTGTCCCCTTGGGAGCATAGGCAGCGTGTTACTATATGGCTCAATGACCTCATTGCCAAATGGAGTTTGTTGCTGTGAGCTGCAGCCTGCCAACCTGCCGTGCCTATTATATGGTGGGAGAGACAAGGAGGGAAACCACTGCCCAAAAAAAGGCTCAGCTGAAAGCACATTGTCCAGCCTGAGCACTGTAATCATGTCCCTGTGCCATGAGCAGCTGTGCCTGATTTCATGTGTATTTATATACCAGGAGAATGGAAAGCTGGAAGGTTTAGAAAATGTCCTACCTGCTGCTATAGGCAAATCACAGCTCCTTCAGAATTGATCTTCCACTGCTGTCTTGTGTTTTCCCAGCCAAAATCTCCTGATATTTTAATGCCCGTTTGATTTTTTTCTTTATTGACTCAAGTGGCTGTGAATCTTGCCCCGTATCGTCTCATGTAGATCTCTGAAGATGGTAAAAAAAGAAAGAAAAAAAAACAGCAAATAGACAAAAACCTGCATAGAACAGCCATCCCCGGAGCAGTTGACAGCTCCTTGTCTTCCACCCGTTCTTATCATATTTGTGACATTTTGTTTATAACCTTTCACCTGGTTTTTATTTTGTTGGACACTGTGTGCGTTGGATGTTCAGAATTTCAGACACGTTTCCCTGCATTACACTTAAGTTGCTTTTGCCATTTTACCTCTGGCTGCCATTTCTCAAAGCTGTAATAATGGCCTGTTTGAGATTAAAATTTACTTTTCTCAGGGGTCATCTTTTCATAACTTTGCGGTTATTTTGCCAAATAAAATAATTTAAAAAGTCACTTCGGCTTGTTTAGCAATATAGTTTTTTGTTTTTTGTGTTTTTTTTTTTTTTTTTAATAATGACCAGCATTACTTATCACTCTCAGCTCCATTGTGCTCCCAGATTGTTGTGATTTTATTCACCTAAGAATGGTTCTGCTAGTGAAGCTGAAATGAGAGGTGAATTTATTACTGTATGCCAAGATTGCTCTGTTCTCCTTCTTTGGTTATGTGCCTTCTGCAGTCTCTCTGTGCTTTCTAAGATTGTCACGTCTCACATATTTTTGTGTATGAATGCATCCCTCAGTAAGTGTTTACTCATTATTGATTTACTCAAACTATAGATTCTTTTTAAATGATTTTCAGTGAGACCAGGATATAAAAGTAGCATTATTAATCAGAAGAGGCTTTCAAAAAAATATTTTTTCCTAATAAAGAAAGAGGAAATCCAGTTTGTTTTCCTGTATTACAGATGGGCAGAAACACTTTGGGCAGTTACAGTGCTGCAATCCTAAGTCTCTGTGTGGCCGAGAGGAAAATAAAATAACTGAGCTTGAGGAGGACATAAATGGTAAATGGGATAAAGGAGTTGTGTAAGTTTACTAATTTAATGGATTTCTGGCTAATTTTCAAAAAAAGCAGTAAGTGTGTGTCTAATTTAACTGGACCCCAGTGAAGCCTTTGGGACAGTGCTGTCTGAAAATGTAGTTGAGATTCAGGAGACAGGTAATAATAGAAGAATGGCAAAGCAGGTAAGGAAAATGAAGCAAAAGACATTGCATTTTTTCAGGAATTATCTTTGGGTTAATGCCATTTAATATTTTTTCACTAAAGCCCAAGGCACAAATAACAGGAAGCACAGAAATGAAAAGTGTCGATGATGCAAATTATACAAGGGTTGTTGAAGGAAGAGCGTAAGTTATCATACTGAACTGAGTGATTCTGAAGACCAACAAGTAGAAATCCGTCTCTGATGACAGTGCAGTTCACAGCTGCGCTCTCAAGGGCTGCTAACAGGAGTCAGCACTGTGAGCTGAAGGCTTACCTAATGGCAGTGAGACAAACAACCCTGTGTATTGCTGCAACTGTACTGCAGCAGAATTTGGAGTTGTCGCTGCCACTAACATTGTGGAAAGTGGTTGTTAATCTTGGAAAATATGATAGAGGGTTCTGCTGCTGAGAAGTATCAATGCCATACCATTACATGGCCTTTGAGAATACAGGTGCAGTCCTGTTACCCATGTTCTAGATAGATTATCCAGGACTTATTTAAGAAAACTTGATGAAACGACAGAAGTGGACATTTCTGTTTGAAGAGACCAAGTATGGGTCTCACTTGTTTAGCCTGGCAAAGGGTGACTTAGTGTGGGCTGAGATTGCTGTCTGTAAGTGCTCCAAACCAGAAAAGTTAGACTTAAAGAAAGTCAAATTTGATGAAAGAACAAATGACAAATAGCCAGATAAACTTAAAAAAAAGTCATTCAGATAACTATTTTTTTTTTAGCAGCTTCCAACAAGGCCAAGGCTTAAAGTGCAGTGCAGTAAATGTATGTCCAAAAAGATCCCATATGACATGGCTGCTATTGATTATACAGCACCAGCCTTACTGGTGCAACAATTCCCTCCTCTGTGTTCAGTCCATTTGTGATTGTGGGTGAATCCTTCATGGTGCTGCTACAAAACACACCCCAACCCATCACTCCAATCAAGTACCATAAAATACCTGCCTTTTTTTTTTTTTTTTCTCTAGGGGGCAGTAGATGTAGATCCTAAAGTATTACGGATCTTTTCCTCCACCTTTTGGCATCCCTGTTGTTGTCTGTGATTACTCTTAAGATAATCAGGACATATGTTTTTTATTATCTCCTTCCTTACCTCTGCAGTTATGTTTGGAAACTCTGGAAAAAGACATTTTCATTGCCTTTACTTACTCTTTATTGCCTCTATTTCTAGCTTTTTTTTTTTTTTTTTTTTTTTCTTTATGCTTGCTACAAATTGCTCATAGGATTTCTTCATTGCAAAATAGATTTGAAAGCCCAATCTAAATGTCTAACATGAAGTGATGTGTCTACAGATGGCTATGTAGAGTGGTAGTTGAAGGTCAAGGAAAATATGAAAGGCCACAGTATAAAACCTGGTAAGTTTCAAGGGGAACTGGCAGCAGCCAGATACATATTCTTTTTCTAAAATCAAAACTTTAAGGGACCCTTTTTGATCACCTTACACTTGTTTTGAAGCAGATCTGTGAAGCTGATCAAGGGGAACCACTCTGGGTAGAGAGAGTTGTATCTTTGTCTCACAAAATTCCATGCAGTTTATGGAGGCAAAAAGGGCAAAAGGAACCACTGAGAATCAGCTCATCACCTCTCCTGCTCCATGTCAGAATCAACACCAGCTGCATCACTTGAAGAGATGCTTGTCTGACATCTTCCTGAAGACCTTCAGTTATGGAGGTCATAGAATCATAGAATCCTTAGAGTTGGGATGGACGTGTGAACGCCATCTAGTCCAACTCCCCTGCACTGCACAGGGACACCACAGCTAGATCAGGTTGCTCAGGGCCTCATCCAGCCTTGACCTGAAAGTCTCCAGGGATGGGGCATCAGCCACATCTCTGAGCAATCTGTGCCAGTGTCTCACCACCCTCAGTGTAAAAGATTTTTTCCTTGTATCCAACCTAAATCTACTGTCTTTGATTCTGAATCCATCCCTGATGGAAAAAAAATCTCAGAACATTTTACTTTTACTGCTGTACTCTTCTTTAATATCTGAATCTTCCTGTGAGAAATTTCAATCTGTTACTTCTTGCACTATGAATATGCAGAGTAGCTCTTCTCCATATTTGCAGCAGCCTTGTGGCTGTTATCTTCTCTTTCACTCTTTAGGCTTTACAGTTCTTATCACAATTATGTTTTCCTTGAACCATCTTCATTTCTCCCACACATATCTTCTTTCGCACGCAGTCCCAAACTGCAAGGCATAGTTTGGCTGAGATGCTAATAGTGCATAGCACAGCAGAAGGATTACTTCGGAAGGGTTCCGATACTTGCAAAATTTAATTTTGCAGCCTCAGGGAAATCTTGAGCTGGGACAGTTCATGCCTTGCAGAGAAAGGATGTAGAGAAAGTGTACACAAAAAGTGGAGACAGATAAGAATGTGGAGTGCCATTGTCACTGCTTTTGTTGCACGGAGGGGATGAGAGCAGTGGGGCAGCACTCATTGTTCATGCTCACCTGGTTTTGGGTGTGCGTATCTGTTTACCTGCTGTAAGCATAGTACTATTAATTCACATTCAGCTTATGATGTTATATCACCATTTTTTTTTTCTGAAAGAAGAAGCAAAAAACAAACAAAAAATCCAACCAAAATACTACCATCAGTTTTCTCTCTTTATGCAGTTGTTGATTCATGGCTTGGTCTGAAAGCCTGTGCTATTTCTGATTGCATTATGTCCTGCTCTTCCAAACTACATCCCCAGCTTTTTGGGATTTTAGTTCTGATTCTCTCTCACAACGTATCTGTGAGCACTGCAAACCATATCTTGCTAGGAAATTTAATCAGCATGCTCTCTAGTTCATTATCTATATTGTTAATGAAAATATTGAATAATTCTGAACTCAGGAACACGTTACCTTTTCTTTAGAATCTGCAGAACCTCCATCTCAGGATGTTTTCTGTCTCTTTTTTATGCAATGCTACACAAATTCCAAAACTGTTGAGAATACCAGAGATGAGATGCTGGTCGCAGCCCCAGTGAAGGAGACTTGGGGGCTTTGTTTGACAGCAAATTGAACAGGAGCCAACAGTGTGCCTGGGTAGCCAGGAAGACCAACTGTACCCTGGGGTGCATCAAGCACGGCCTTGCTGGCCAGCTGAAGGAAATGATTATCCTGCTCTACGCTGCACTGGTGTGGCCTCACATTGAGTACTGTGTGTAATTTTGGGCATCACAGTACTAAAGGCACATAAAACTGTTAGAGAGCGTCCAAAAGAGGGCACGAAGGGTCCAGAGAGGAAGGCATGAGAAGAGCAGCTGAAGTCCTTTGGTTTGTTCAGCCCAGAGAAGAGGAGACTGAGGATAGGCCTCACGGCATCTTGCAACTCTTCATGATGATCCACAGCTCCTTCATAGCAGCCTGCAGCTCATGGTAGCCTGAAGCTCTGCTTGGTTGTCCTACAGTCCCTCGTGGCCCTGCAGCTCCTCACAGGGAGCGAACGGGCAGCGCTGAGCTCTGCTCTCTGTGACAGCGACAGGGCCAAGGGAACGGCATGGAGCTGCCAGGGGAGGGTCAGATGGGGGTGGGAGAAAGGCTGTGCCCAGAGGGCGGTGGCATGGAGCAGCTCCCCAGGGCAGCAGGCACAGCCCTGAGCTGCCAGAGCTCACAGAGCCTCTGGGCAGTGCTGTCAGGCACAGGGTCTGACTTGTGTGTGGTTCTGTGTGGAGCTGGGGGTTGGACTCAGTGACCCCGTGCTCCCTTCCAAGTCTGGGTGTTCTACGAGTCTACGCTTTAAGGTTCTGAACCCTGCTGACCTAAGTGAAAATCGGATGAGAGAAACCAGGCCCTTTTAAAGCAACCTTGATGTATTTCTTTAACTACTATTGATTAAAAAATCGAATGCAGCTGCAAATGTATTCCTCCCCTCCCACAACTTGTGTTTCTGCTTTTTTAGCCTGACCAGCATAGTTTAAAATAGCAAAGAAGTAAAAACAAACTAAGCAAATTTGTGGGAGAAAAGATGGCTTCCTGCAGCCCAGACGAGGAGGACAAATGTCAGCTTTTCTTGAAACCTGAGTTAAGGACATAGCACCAAGTAAAGCTGAAGGGAGCAATGGAAGGATGGAAAGAGGTCCCACTGTGTGCCCACTGCCCAAGAATGTGTGAAGGAACACAAGCACTGCAGGGTCTGTCTGTGCCACTGCCATCAGGGCTAGATGTGGCAGGGAGCTGCAGGGCCGTTGTGGCAGCTGGGGAACAGAGACTTGGGTTGAGCCAGGCGGCTTTTAAAAACAACAGCAAATAACATTTATTTTCTACACTTTTGAAAGAAAATACATGGGGGAAATAGGAAAAAAAAATTCAAATAAAATTGTATAGTTTTTCTCTGGAGAGAAGACATGCTTGCACTGTAACCTTCATCCATTTGTTATGTTAGTGCATTTTACACAAGTCTTCCTTCACAATATTGTGGGGAGTGGAAGAATCACAGGAATTAAATGTAATTCTCAGCGAGGTGATGTTGGGTGAGTCAGTTCCATCCATTTGTACCGTGGCTTCCACTTGGAAAAAAGAAAAAGAAAAAGAAAACAAACAAACAAACAAACAAACAAACAAAAAAAAACCAAGTTATACTTGCTTCCTATAGGACTCTGTGAGCTACGGTCGTACTGAGTAAGGGCTGAGTGCTACTGCTACGTAATTGTTGCCATTGAAGCCTCATTACGTGCATGGCTACAGTGTATCTGCAGCTTCCTCACTTTCAGGCGGCCGACCCGCTTACCCGGTGTTCTCTTTGTAACTCTCGCTATAGAGCTGCTAAGAACATCCAGATAGAGGACAATACTTATTCAGTTGTATTCACTTGAAATCCGGTGACATTTCCCACCCATCCCGGTGCCGCAGGATGTAGCCGGCTGCCGGCTGAGCCAGGAGCAGCTGCTCGCGTCGCTTTATCTGTAGCGGATCAAAAACACGAACAAAACCCCACCCCGAGCCCTGCCGCGGTGCTGCAACCCCCACCGCCCATCGTGCAGCGCTGGCAACGATGGAAACGGATCGCGGGGCGCCGCGGCCGCCATCGCGACGGCTCGGACGGGCGTGCGCCCCAACCGCGCCGCCCCGCGGCTCCTCAGCCCTCTTACAACGGTCGCAGCCCCGGGTCGCTGCCGGGCGCGGCATGGAAAGGGTTAAGGCCGTTCCCTACCGCCGCCCCCGCCCGCGCGTCCCCGCGAGGCCGCGGCTGACCTTCACGGAGCCGCGTCGGGCACGCGCACCGCCGCCCGGGGCCCGCGGGAGCCGCGATCGGTCCGGCCGCGGCCCGCTCGGGTTCGGCGCGGACCTGCAGGGGGCTCGGCCCGGACCCGGCCCGCCGCCCATCCGGGCTCGCGGCTGGCGCACGCCCTGCCCGTGCTGGGCGCGCCGTGGCCATTCGGTGCCGGCGGTGCTGGCGGAGGAGCGCGGGGGGACTCGAGGGGGGACCGCGCGCCGCGCCGCGCCGCACCGGAGCCGCGCCCTGAGAGCGCCGGGCCGAGCTGAGGAGGCCGCGGGCTCCGGGGCCGCGGGCGGCGACGGGCGCCGTCCGCGACCGCTGTGCCCTTTGCGGGCGGTGCCGCGGCTCCGAAGCTGTCGCTGCTTCTAGCGGGCATTTGCCCAGAGCCCTCCCGGAGAGCCGCGCTGTGCTCGAGCACCGTTCGGTGCCGTGCCGTGGAATGAGGGTGGGGACGCGGCTCCCGTTAGGAGCGGGAATAGCGACGGGTACGGCTTTGTGTCAGCAGCGTTGCTGCGGGGGATCCGCTGCGTCCCTGCGCAGCGCAGTCTGCAAAGAGAAGGCATGTCGTGTGCTGGGAGCGCAAAAGGGCTCACCAGACGGGAGCCGGTGGCACTGCGTGCTTTTGGGACCTGAGCCTGGCAGGCACGGGGCGCTGCCGCCATGCTGACACAGCAGCTCGGTTCCAGATCCCACGTGCAGTCGGTTCGGGTTGGCCAGAGCCGCAGCAGTCTGGTCCATGCCCCGAACGAGGATGTGCTGCTGTGCTGGGTGTGTCTGAGGGAGCGGAAGGGGGAGGGCATTGATAACAGCGCCCGCACGCCCAAACGCTGTAATTCCTGCGGTATCCCGCACGGCTCTGCCTGGGCTGGGGTCACCTTGAACATCAGCAGAGGCTGTTCCTTGGTCCCTGCGCGCATCATGCCGTGTGATCTCCATGGTCCGCTCTTCGCTGCCGGCCGATTCAGTGTCTTTCCTGTGCTTTTTTTTAACCACTGGGTGAGGGCAGCGATTTTATTCATTTCAGCCTGATTCCCTTTAATTTGCAGCCTTGCCAGAAAATTCAGAGTCCGTAGACAAAAATCTCAAGGAGAGGAAAAGAACAAACCCCTCTCGTAGCCTGGCAGTGTCTCTATCACTGTATCACACGGACGGGAGACAGGAGCCCCTCGCCAGCCGCACACACTGCGGTGAGCTGAGCCCCACGGCCACGCTGCCGTGCCGTCATGGGAGGCGGCACTGCCGCCCTGCATCGCGGAGAGGTCATCGCCGCTCTCCATCATGGAGGGGCCCCTTCCCCCAGCTGGGCCCGCGGGGTCTCGGGGTTCCGCGCGGGGCTCTGTGCGAGGAGCCGCGAGCTGCGGCTGCCTAAGGGCAGCTGCGGTGTTCGCAGTGCCTGCGGCCGTCGATCACGCGGCTCTTTACTGGATCCGTCATAGCGGGGCCGGAGCGCCCCGGACACATCGCTCCGGGCGGGGCCGCCGCCATGCTGCCCGCCGCCCCCGCTCCTCGCCCGCCCGCCATCATTTCGCCCCCGCGCTCTCCCTGCCCGCTTCAGGCTCTCCGCCTCCCGCTGCCTCTGCTCGCCGAAGGGGCCGTTCTCAGCCTCGCGCTGGAATCGCCGCCAGCGAATGTTTGCGCGCTGCCGGCGGTCCCCGGGGACGGGGCCTGGAGCGCGGCGCGGGCGGAGCGCTGCGGACGGGGGGCGCCATTGTTTCTCAGCGCTCGCCCGCTGCGTGTCCTAATGGGAAAAGTCCCCCGGAGCCGGGCTGGAGCCGCCGCCGAGGCCGCCCCCTCCCCCTCGCCCCAGAATTTACCATCCCCTGCGCCCGGGAGGAGCGGCTGCAGCTTTGCTGCGAAAGGCCGGGACGTGTTTTCAATTTGCCTCCTGCTTATCTCGGGTGTTTGGACAGAGAGGTTTAAAAAGCGGGATTTTCTGTCCCCGCAGAGTAAACACGCAGAGCCCGGCAGCGCAAACTATTTCTGGCTTATCAGTGGAGGAATGCAGCAGCTGAGGCCGAGCGCGAGTGGGCCGTCAGGAAGGCCCTGAAGGGGCCCCCTCCCCACTCCGCGCTATTAGAAGTGTGAGAGCCCAGCAGGACTCAGAGGGGAGAGTTGGAGAAAAAGGCAGAAAAGGGAAAGAAAGAGGAAGAGAGAGAGTGAGAGAGGCTGAGCAGACCCCGATGGCTACAGACGAAGTTACAGGAGGGGCTCGCAAAGCTACGAAAAGCAAACTTTTTGAGTTTCTGGTCCATGGGGTGGTGAGTCGGGAAAGTTAGCGAGCTGGCTGGCTCCGAATCGAGGGATGAGTGGAGAGCGGAGGCTGCGCCGGGCTGGAGCGGCCCCCGCAGCGCGCTCGTGGGGCGCCGCTCCCCGCCTCGCCCGAGAGCCGCGGGGCTGCCGGAGCACACGATGTGACCGATCCGTTGCTATAAGGCTTTGTCTGGGGGGTTGCGTGCTGTGATTGCTGCTTTGATTCTCCATGCTTGGTGAATAGCATGCTTCTGAGCCTCGTCACGGTGCGGGATCTGCACCGGGTCTGACCCAAACGGGCTTGTAGGACACTTTGTTCTGTAAGCAAACTTGTGTTTTGAAAAGCAATTCTGATGCTAGTCCGATGCAGCCGTGTGCTGCTGCCTCTGGTTCTCGTCTCCAGCCTTGGCTCTGATGTATCCTCTGGCTACTTAACAGGTGACTTTCAGGGGCTTGGAGAGATTAGCGCTGCAGATCTGTGCCAGTCGATGGGCGCTCACCCACGAGGAAACGTCAGGTTGCCGTGCTTAATTAAAGGAATTGCTCAGGTCTTTAAAAAATCACCAGCTTTTGTTTAAGGGATCAGGTCTTTGATCTCCATTTAAGGGGATATGCTAACCTTGTTTTGCTGCCAGTAGAAACGATGTTCTTTAAATGACTGATGGTTGGAAGCGACCACCTTTTATAGCATTTGGATTCCTTGTGTTGGTACACTTTTAACGAAATAAGACCCAGGAAATGCTGATGTTGTTCAGATGGAAACAGTTCCTGCGTGTTTTCTCTCTTGAGCATTCTGGCACCTTCTGTGACACCTTTTTGAAGACATCTGCTGGGCGTTCCTGTACAAAGGAATCTCAGGAGCTCACTGCAGGCCTCTGGGTTGTCTCCATAACTCAGGCTTGCTCCAAATGTATTGGATCTAGTTTGTGTCCTGCAGAGCATGGCTGTGATGAGCTTGCAGGGTGAAGGACTTTTAGATGGCATTCTGTTCTTTGAGAGCAGTGAGCAGGCAGTGTGGTGCCAATGTACATCAGCAGTCTGTTGCTAGATGGGCAGATACGACAGAAGCAGATTTGCAGATCTGTGGCAGTAGCTGTGCTATGGACATGTGAGTTCGTTCAGATGGTCTGGCTTAGGGTGGCCGTAGCTGGGTGGACCATGGGCATCCTGGAAGGGCTGTGCACATGGGAGGCTGTTTCCTTTTCCAAGGTTTCTATTGGCACAATGCTGCTCTTCCTTTGGTATCACAAAGAGTTGCTAAGATAGTTGGATAAATCTGCTTCTTTCCCTCATAGATGTGAAAGGAGCCTGCTAGCCTCTTATGCATGAGCAGTGTTAATTCATACCAGAATTGATGCAGCAGAACTTGTTTCCATTACTTGTTTGGATGCTAGAGAAGTCTGACTTGTCTGCACGGACTGTTTTGCCACCAGCGGCGTCTCACTTGGTATCTGCACTGCCTGAGTATCTGCATCTGTCTGTTTGTTACCTTTCCACTGCCTGTCAGTGGGAACAGAGTTTCTTGTCTGGCATTCCTTGCCCGAGCTCCTCTTGTAGGACCTTCTGCATCTCTCTGTGATGATTTCCTTTGGTTCTGCTTTTGCTTCCATGCTTGTTCTTCACTTCTAGTTTCTTCCTGATCTCAGGTTCATTTTGATCAAAACAGGTTGAGGTAGTCAGTCTTCCATTGCTTATAAAAGACCCAAAGTTTCAACTTCATTTATCTGTTTATGTATCCTATCTAATAAAGGAGCGAGCCGTTCCCCTGGGCGCACGTATTGCAGTCTCATCACCGCACAGCGTGTCTGCATCTGAATCAATTCCTTCAAAATTCAAGTTGAAGAACAAACTTTTCCAGAACACCTTGGAATCAGGCTATGCCCCCATGTCAGGGAAAATCTCCTCTTCAAATTATTAGTTTTTTATTCTCTCTTTGGCAAAATTATCTGTTTTGATTATTACAGGCTTTATTGTCGTTATTGTCTCATTTTTCAAAAATAGGGGTATATAAACAGGGATAGAATGTTGTGAGAAAAATTTTTACTGTTTGAACGATTAAATAGAAAGGAGAATTTTGCAGTATTTACTGAGAGCTGTTAGATTTTGGGTTTATTTGATCTTTCTGAAAACACAAATTCCTTTGCTAAGGTCACTTTGCCCTTTGCTCTTCTGTGTTCCATCTTGCCTTTGTTCTTCGCCATGCTGCCGGCTCAGAAAGTATCTTCTTCCTTTAATGTCATTCAGATAGAATCCCTCTGCAGTGTCAGAGCTTTAGCAGTCAGAAGCCTCAGGTGTGATACTTTGTCCTGCTGGAGTAGTTTGTTACACCTCTGCTGAGCAGTTCTTCTTCTTGAAAGACCACATTTCTGTCAGTTATTTGTTAGATTTCTCTAACTCCTGGTCTGTTGATCAGGGTCTGACACACTGTATCTGTGGGAAGAGGGATTTTTTCACAGGCTTTGTCGTTCTTCACTGTCATTTTTTCCTCCTCTGCTCTATTTCCGAAACTTTTATGAATAAATACAGCTTTAATGACCACCTGCATGCCTGTATGTTTTTTATTGGTGTGTTTTGAACATTTTGGGCTGCCTTTATGACATCTCCCTCTGGGTATCTCGTTGTTTTCAACTCTTTTGACCCAAACCAAATTATTAATCTTCCTGCAGGGTGCTCCTCGGTTTCTTCTGTCCTGTAGACTCTACATCAGCCTCTCTGTTGTCTGCATCACTTCATTGGATGTTATCTTTGTCCTTTGTCTTTTTTTTCCTCCTTTCTTTCTCAAATAGCTATCTTCATGTGGAGCCTTGGGAAGACTCGTAGCGCGTATTTTGTCAAAGCTCTTGCCCAGACTTGTGTCCTTTTGCGACTCAATTGCAGAAATCCTCTCCTCTTTGGTACTTGTACTGAGGCCTTTGCAGTGTTATCTTCACACGGGAGGCAGCTGAGGGGTTCATTCTGTTGTGTGGTTGTTCTGACCCTTTTAAATCTGTTTCCCTGTCCTTTTTCTGTTCCCACTTTGTCTTCCTTCCAAAACAAATCTTTTTGAATTTTGTACACAAGCTGTGCCTACAGAAGTCCATGTCTGTTTCTCGGCTACTGGGTCTTTTCTGTATTTACTATATACTTCTCAGTTCATATCACCTTCTTTGTATAGGGATCTAGTTCTTTGCCCTCTGTGTTGTGCTTGGGTAGCTCTTCCTCTTAACATAAGTGCTTATACATATTTATTTTCTGCTAATAAGTGTTTTCTTATGGTTCCTGCTAATCTCTGCACTTTAATAGTCATTATACCTCACTACTGTTAATATATACAAGCCCGTACATCACTTGTGTGACTCCTTTTTTGACCCCCATTCTTACTGTGTGGTTGTTCACCTCTCAAATCTGGTCATGGAGTTTGACAGTAAGTTGAGGAGATGTCTTATGTGAAATGGCATTTAGTACAGTGAAAGGAGGGTCTCAAAGCACGCCATGATGTAAACAAATACTTAATACAGAAATTAAATAAGTAAAAATAGGTTAAAAGACACGTCTGATGTCCCAAGGACGTATATGGAGTGTTTAATAGATCTAGTAAAGTTATGGAAAAAGGGGTGAGCAATGAATTTCATGAATAAATTCTGCATCTCCTCGTACACTGCAGGGTTTAAATGAGCTGTGACCATCCAGGAGGAAGACTCAGATGTCTTTGCAGGCTGCCTACTATGTGGCAGCAGCCACTGCTACTAAGAAAACAAATTAAATATTAACTTCATTAAGAAGTGGGACAGGGAGTGGTGCAGAAGATGTTGTAAATCAGTTGGAATATACTTAGAAGAATATGTATTTTTTTCATGTTGATTCTTTGCATGACAAATAAGCAAAAGGAGGAGTAACCCAGATGGCAGTGACAGTGGGAGGGCTGTGAAGACTTCATCAATAAGAGGTTGGCAAACTCACCATGATTGGGCTTTGTAGGAAGTCTGTATGTGTTTTTTTTCCATAATACCTTGTGATGGAGATTGATTAGAAAAGCTGCAAAGTCTCTGTTACTGGAAGCTGTTAGAAACTGGTTAAAGGAGTAAATGTCAAAGATGATGGAGGCTTTGGTGATGCTTTATCGAGAAAAGGAAGGACTGGATGACCTCAAGGATTCATATTTCAGTTTGGCATCAAAATGGTGTTTATTTGGTTATAATGGGAAGAACTAGAGGTGTTTTCCCCAAATTGAATGATGATTTATTTTAAGTAGATAAAAGTAATTGTTTCTTTCATCTGTAGAAATCACTACAGAAGTAGTAATGGGAGGAGAATATTAAGTTTGAAAAAAAAACCAACAAAAATTTTGCTACTGAACAATATCTCAGCAGTTTTTATATTATCATGGATTAAATACTATCTTGTCAATGCCTAAACTCTAGAAAGGGTAGAAAAGAGTTTCATGAACACTTTGTTCCACTTGCCTAATACAGGGTGCTCTGTGCTAGGATGTTGTCAGAGCACAGTTTCTGGAACACAGTCACTGGTTTACTGCATATGCATTTCCTGTTTTATTAAACAAGGAGATGTTTGGGTTGAGCTTAAGGCAGTCTGGGGAATTCAGCATTTGTTTGGGAAGGTACTTGCAGAAGCCTGGTAGAGTAAGAACGTTGTACAGCATTGAAAAGCATGAGCAAGCTGCCAGCGGGACCAGAGGGCTGGTCTTTTCCTCGCTCTGAGCTCGGTGCAGAAAAGTTCACACACAAATAAGAAAATCAAATCATCCTAATTCTTGATATGTTCTTAATAAGTAGTTAATGAGATTTTGCAAAATGAGCTTGCGAAAAGTTCAGTATGCTGATAAATAGAGGTACAGAGATGTGTCCAGTGTGCGAGATGTTTGAGTTTCTCTTCTGTTTTCTTCCAAAAGAAACTATAGAGACACGAATCCAGTCACACTGCGTCATTGAGCCCTGTGTGCCCAGGCCCCTGGGGAGTAGCAGAAGACTGTATGGAAGCTGCAAAGCAAAAAATTAGCAGTACTTCTTCC